TGTTAACATTAATTTACTATTAATAATTACAAAAAATATTGAATTAAAAAAATCATTATATATAATTAATATATATATTTTTCAAAAAAATTTTTTAATTCTTATTATATAATATATATATATATATATATATATTTTTTTTTCAAAAAAAATTTTAAATTCTTATTATATATATAATATATATATATTTTTTAATAATATATTTTATTATATATATATTTCAAAAAAATTAAGAATTATTATTATATGTGAATTTTTTCATTAAGGCATTTTTTATGATTTATCATTAAGTTTATGTTTAAGAATATTAATTAGAACATTTAAATTTTATTATGAATGGGAATAATCAATTTATAGATTTGACTGTAGGTGATGAAAATAATAATAATGATATTAATGAACAAAATGATGGCATTGATGACTTGACAGAATCATCAACATTATCAAGTGGATCTGGTCCCTCGACAAATATTAATAACATTAATGGTACATCAGATGTTTGGATTTTCTTTAATAAAATTAACAATGGCAAGGCTCAATGTAAAACATGCAAAAGCATCTTTAGTAATAAGTCATCCACAACAACTTTGAGACGACATATTACAAACTTACATACAGGTTATTATGAAAAAATGAAACAGACCACTTTGAAACTTAATTGAGTTATACCATATTCAACAACTTCTCAAGAATATAAACTAATTACTGATAAACTGGTTAATTGGATTGCCATGGATACCTTACCATTTACTATTGTAGAAAGTCCAGCATTTCATGAATTTATATCATCTTTTAATGAAAAGTATGCTATTCCTTCTCGATTAAGTGTCAAAAATATTATTGTCACAAAATTTAATAGGGCCAGAATTCAAATAAAACAACAATTTGAAAAATTTGACTCAAAAGTTTCTTTTACCACTGACATTTGGAGCAATTTATCCAATGAGGCATTTATTGGTATAACTGTTCATTATATAGACAATAATTGGAATATGAGAAACTTTGTTTTAGATATTATCCAAATACAAGAGCAACATACTGGGATAAATATTGCTAATAAGATATTAGATATTATTGAAGAGTTTAATTTATGTACTAAAACATTAGCAATAACCAGTGACAATGCCTCCAATATGATTAAAGGTTGCAAAGATTTTGGAGAAATTTTGGAAGACACTTTTTATAATTATAATTTTATTCATCAGCGTTGCGCTGCACATGTTATCAATATAGCAGTTGAACATGGGATGGAGTTAATTTTTTATGAATTATCTAAGCTTAAAAATTATGTAAAAAAAGTCAAAAATTCTGTTTTGTTATGTGATGAATTAAGAAAAATATCTCAAGCTAAAAATGTGAAGTATTTGGCTCCTATTTTAGACTGTCCTACATGTTGGAATTCGACCTATCTTATGCTGGAAAGACAAATAGAAACAAAGGAAATCAACCAACGACTTGTCAGGAACAATCCTAGTAGTATTGAATTAGAATATTTGACTGAAAATGATTGGAAACAAATTGATGACTTGTGTGTTATTTTAAAACCATTATACATTGCAACCAAATTTTTATCATCAAGTTCACCCACTTTAAGTGATGTGTGCATTACTTTTACTGCATTAATTAAAGAATTGAAAAAGGTAATTGATGGCAACAATGAACATTATTTAATTGCAGATTCAGTTAATCATAAATTAAAAGAATATTGGAGTCTCATGGAAAATAACACACGAATCAGTTCTGTAATTGATCCAAGAAATAAATTATCTGGTTTTACACTACAAGAAATTGAAGAATTAAAAAATGAATTTAAAAATCTTATAGATACATATGAACCACTGAATCAACAATTGTCTAATCAAAATTCACAACAAAATCCTAATCCAAATAGCCGTTTTTATTTTCTCTCCATGATTTCTTTACCTAATAACAATGATAATAGTAATCATCACACACAATCATCAACACAAGATGAACTTGAACGTTATTTACAACTACCAATTGTTACCAACGAAAACATTGATCCATTAAATTGGTGGAAAACACATCAAACAGAATTTCCAATGTTAGCAAGGATTGCCAAAGATTATCTCACTGTTCAGGCCACCTCTGTGCCTTGTGAACAATTATTTTCACTTGCTAATCACACTATTCGTAAAACAAGATCAAGGCTTCACCCACAAACTGCAAGAGCTGCTATATGTCTAAAAAGTTGGTTATCCTATTTTTCAGAAATGGATAATGATAAAATTATTTTAGATGTTGTTGAAGAAACATCTACACTTGATGAAAATATAGAAGGTGATGAAGAGTTAAATTGGGTTGGGTTAATTGATGAATAATATGTAGTTTATTTTTAATATAGTTAATTTGTGATTTGTGATACAAGTGCACAAAATTTTGAAAATCAATTAGTAAATTGTGGGGATATCAAAACATAAAAAACGTTAAAATCTCAGCTTGCTTACTATACAATTGTGCATTTATTTTATTTAATTTTATAAAACTATGACTAAAAGTAAAATTGTTGCTCCTACACTTATTTCTTGTGGTCTTATTATTCCTGAATTACATTTTGGACTTTTTTCACGTAATTGGTGGTTGGAAATAATTACTGAAAATGGGCAAGAATCATTTCCTATACACATAGGAATGTCAATAGTAACAGAACTAAATGGACGAAATTTCACTGTACGTGCTTTTAAAAATAGTAAAGGTCAGCCAGGATATATTTGTGAGTCAGGTGAGTATATTGGTGAAGAAAAAGATCATATAAGTAATGCTCTTAATACATTGTATCAAAGAATTTTTTAAAAAAAAACCAAATATTCTGGAGTGAATTTGGTTTAGATAATCTTTTAATATTAGAAAAACTTTTAGATGATGTATTATTTAGACCATTTTCAGTAATGGTAGAAAAGTATAAAATATTTATATATGGATTAGGTGTATCAGATAGTGAAAGTTGGCATGGAGCAGGCACTGGCTACATGTCATCATTTATCTCTGACTACAAAAGAAAAAGATGCTTATTTTTCCAAAGTATAAAAAATAAACTTTGTTGCATTGAAATTTATGATGATAGAGAAATTGATGCTATAGAATAACCCAGATTCCAAATTATTCAATATATATTTTAGTTGATAAATTGATTATTTCATTAATTGAAATTATAAAATCAGGCATGTCTAATTTTTGAACAATCCATATATAGTCTCAAACCCATATTTGAATTAAAAACACAATTACATAGACTGACTATAATAATTTGAATATAAATCAGTTAAATCAATAAAACTTATCAAATTTTGGTCAAAGTTTTAATTAGTTATAGTTTGAGAAATTACCTGTTTAGTTAATAATATATTAGCCAATTGATGAATTCATTTTATCAATGATCCAATTGAATTAGAAACTAATTTATTTATTTTTAAACTTTCATTATCTATAATAACATTAATATTTGAATAGATCTCACATGCAATCAAAAGATTTGTGAGTTTGGGAAATGATGTAGAAACAGGTGAAGATATTGAAAAAGCCATCAGAAATAAGATTCAAGGAACATCAGTTGCACATATTGAGCCAAAGAGGAATGTTGGAAAAATTGTAGATACAATTGTTGGAGTATCTAATTGGTATTCTTGGAAGTGGCCAATTGATGAGGAATCTAGTGGATTTATATTTGCTTGTGAGTTACCTAATGTAGATGATTGGACTAAATTTTCACCCACAAAAATAGATGGTTTAATTAAACAGCAATTCACAAAACCTGAACCAACATTCACACCACATTCTATGCCAAAGGAGAAATGGAGTGTACCAATTCCTGATGTAACAGGTAAATAAATATAATATCTAGTATATATACATAAAATTCATTAATGTCAATATTAATGAATTTAATAAATAATAGGTGAATCAATTAGAAAAAAAACAGAAAAATTTTTTTGAAAATACTCTTTGTTAATGAAACAAATCATTTTGTCAATGGTAAACTCTAAAGTATTTGATAACTACTGTAATTAGAATTATCCTAGCAAAAAAAATTTAATTTTTTGAATATAACATTTTATTATGGTAAATAATGATGCTTATAATGTATCCAACTTCCAGAATTCTGATTTTTTCCACTGTGATGTTTTGAATTTAAAAGAAGGATAAGAATATTCCTAAATATATAATAAAAACCATATAATTTAATATTTATGATATATTAATACATTAATTTAGACAATGTGTAGGAGACAAATTCCCACTTAAATTAGGATGGGCAGTTAAGGGAAAACAAAAATTTGGAAAAAAAGGTCGTGGAAAAAGAATGCCAAAAATAATTGTAGATTTTCTCAAAACTTACTTTCATTCTGGTAATTATGATAAAAGCCAAAGATACACACCAGAATCAATGCATCAGGAACTTATTGAAGAAGCAAATAATAATAATTTTACACTTGAACAAATTCCAAAAGTAGAAACCATTCGAAATTGGATATCCAGATATTCATCTGCAATGAAAAAAGATATCTCTGATAAAATGTTGGAAAAAAATAATGCTAATAATAGTAGTAGTAGATAAAAAATTGACAAATAGACTATTTTTACATTTATATTCAGTAATAAAAATAATTTCTCATAATAAATATTCATACTATTTAAAAAACTTACATTTTATATATTAGTATAAATAATTGGTCTTGCTTCACTTCATTCATGGACTGTTTTAATAAAAAATTATAAATTTTATTTTTATAAAATTTGTGAAACAATGAAATAACATAGTAAAAATTCTTTGAAATCCACGGTTGCTAAGTAGCAAAATCAAAAGCTTGTAAAGAAAACAATAATAAAAAATATACCAAAATAATATTTGAGATTTTTTGCATCATATGATTTAATATTCTGTGTTGGAATTTGACCTATCTTATGCTGGAAAGACAAATAGAAACAAAGGAAATCAACCAACGACTTGTCAGGAACAATCCTAGTAGTATTGAATTAGAATATTTGACTGAAAATGATTGGAAACAAATTGATTACTTGTGTGTTTGTTGGAATTCGACCTATCTTATGCTGGAAAGACAAATAGAAACAAAGGAAATCAACCAACGACTTGTCAGGAACAATCCTAGTAGTATTGAATTAGAATATTTGACTGAAAATGATTGGAAACAAATTGATGACTTGTGTGTTATTTTAAAACCATTATACATTGCAACCAAATTTTTATCATCAAGTTCACCCACTTTAAGTGATGTGTGCATTACTTTTACTGCATTAATTAAAGAATTGAAAAAGGTAATTGATGGCAACAATGAACATTATTTAATTGCAGATTCAGTTAATCATAAATTAAAAGAATATTGGAGTCTCATGGAAAATAACACACGAATCAGTTCTGTAATTGATCCAAGAAATAAATTATCTGGTTTTACACTACAAGAAATTGAAGAATTAAAAAATGAATTTAAAAATCTTATAGATACATATGAACCACTGAATCAACAATTGTCTAATCAAAATTCACAACAAAATCCTAATCCAAATAGCCGTTTTTATTTTCTCTCCATGATTTCTTTACCTAATAACAATGATAATAGTAATCATCACACACAATCATCAACACAAGATGAACTTGAACGTTATTTACAACTACCAATTGTTACCAACGAAAACATTGATCCATTAAATTGGTGGAAAACACATCAAACAGAATTTCCAATGTTAGCAAGGATTGCCAAAGATTATCTCACTGTTCAGGCCACCTCTGTGCCTTGTGAACAATTATTTTCACTTGCTAATCACACTATTCGTAAAACAAGATCAAGGCTTCACCCACAAACTGCAAGAGCTGCTATATGTCTAAAAAGTTGGTTATCCTATTTTTCAGAAATGGATAATGATAAAATTATTTTAGATGTTGTTGAAGAAACATCTACTAAGGATACCGGCTGCAACTTTTGATGATGGTTGCTACCACCTTTGCGTCATATAAAAATGATTGCAACCACTGGTTGCAACCACCTTTACGACCATTTTGTTTCCTTTTTTGGATTGCGACATGGAACACTAACATCTACACCTGATGAAAATATAGAAGGTGATGAAGAGTTAAATTGGGTTGGGTTAATTGATGAATAATATGTATTTTATTTTTAATATAGTTAAAATTAAAATTTTTAAAAGTTTTTCAATAAAAAAATTATGATTTGTTTGAATTAATAAAGACTGCAGTCTGGACTGAACCATTGGTCTTTTACGGACCATTTTCAAAACTGACAGTTTGGTCTGACTTTAAATAAGACTGACATGGACTGGACTGGACCGGACCAGACGGACCATTTAACATCCCTAAGTGCAAAAGGATGCTTGGATGTTTCGCATCCAACTATTCAAAAGAATAATTCATCTTTTCGTGACTGCCAAATTTAGAAATGATTATCACAGGCTAGTCTAAATTTAGTAACGATATCAGCGGCCAATTTCATCATGAACATTGTAAACTTGTGCAACTTTGAGCCCTTCTAACTGCGCAATGCTGTAACATATCAACAAAATGAAATCGTAACTTTGTAGATAAAGGTTTTAGCTTCAAAATTACGGCTTATTTTTTTGGTGTTACGTTTCCATTTTTGGAGTTAGAGAAGGATCTACAAGGACAATAAAAAATTGTGAGACTAGGTGTCTTGCACTATATATGGGGGACAACTCAATGTTACACACATAGATATTTGCAGATCTTCCAATTCCAAAACTGTCTCCCACTCCTAAATTAAAAAATGTCATGCGTTTCATAGTAAAAAAGAAAACTTTACATAGAAAACTTTACACACAAGAGTTTTTGAACAGCCGATGCAAAAAAATTAAGTTATTATTGTTGAAAG